AGAAATAAGTTCTTAAACTTATTTTTATTAAAATATAGAACAGTAAATAAAGAAGTACAGCAAACAATTATCTCTTCCAGTTATGACCTTTGTACTTGGGTTGCTGCTTGACATAAGTTGCTAAACCTTTTAAAATTTTGCATGTGGATAAGATGAAATGAAATAATTCCACTATAATTTATCAAGCTTAGTTACTAAGCAGTATTTCGACCTAAAAATATATGAAATTTCAAGAAAAGCTAAAGACACAACCTACCTCCTTGAACAAGATGGCATCCTAACAATTTAAAATGGCTGAGAAGGCCACTAGGGTGACATTCTGAGCTTTCAATTACTATAGATAGTAATGCACTTAATTTTTATTTAATTAAATAATGCACCAAAGAATATGGACTAATAACATGCAAAAAGTAGACAAATTCCCTTACCTCTCAAATTTTCCTGGCTTTCTGACTATGCAACAAGAGCCATTAAAAATTCATCCAAGCTAGTTATTAATTTCCCACAGGAATAATGTTGGTACTCTGATTGAAATTGACATCTAACTGTTCAGAACATAACATTATACAATACGTCATTTAATAGATGAAAACCTTCACTTTCTATTGGTTACAGGTAATATATATAATGAAATGTAAAAGAGAACTATTAAAAATTCTGAAAAGAGGAAGTGACAGGAGAGGTCTGATTTTTAATCAATAGCTCTGTGATCAAACAAAATTGAAGGCTATAAAAATTATGGTTTGTTTGAGCAATAAGAATTTTATTGATAGTAATTTACATTAAATTTCATACTTTTTCGAGAGATAGTGGATAAAATAGGGATGATGACATGCTAAGAGAAAATGTGTCACGTGGGTCACACTAGTGGAAATTCAGGTTTATTTTATATTGTCTTGTAGAATTAAGAACTTAAAACTTGTATACTATTAAAATATGGATTATTAGCTAAGATTTTATGCTATTCTAATTGGTATAACAAACAAAAGTAGTCATGCACAGTAAAGGATACCTGTGGCAATGGGGTTAACTGTGTTTTTTTGATACTTCTTTTAAATTATGAAATTGACTGATGCATAGTACTAAAATTTGAATTATAATATACAGTTTGATACCAAACTTGTTGACACAAGTTCATGATATAGTTGTTCAATAAAATTTTGAATGTGAGCCAAAAAACGCGATGACATGGCCTTTAACTCATGATCCATCTGGAAAGGGTTAATGCTTACTGAAAGCTTGTGAAATATCGTGAAGATATACAAAACATATTAGAAGTTATAGTATGGAAACTATAAAGGTCAATTTCTACATCGATTTGACCAAGTATGTAGGGAAAGAGTTAATTTACATTTCAAGTAGTTTCTATTTTTTTTTCAGGTTATGAATAAATACAAAAACAAAGTGGAAATATTTCATGTCTTTCTGAAATTTCAAACACTTACTCTGCAGTGAAATGAAGGCTGACATTTATAAATGTTCAACTTTAGGTCAACATTTAACAATAAAACAAGAAAAGGATCTACCTGTTAGACCACTTTAGCCTTTTTTATGTATTTTATTATCTATCTCACACAATAGCAGACTCATGTAAATTAGTGTTAATAAAAAAAACTGATATCTTGCATATTGCATACTTTCATCAAAAATTCGACTGTATATGGAAATATGTTCTATACTATGATCAACTGATCAGAGTTGAAATTCAAGCTCATCCTATGTACAAACATGGAAGTCAATAAAGGTTTGTTTGTAATATCATGATAGACTGACTGGAATTGTTAATCTAAAGCCCACTTTTCTGCACTATCAAAAAATGACTGTGATATGATTTCAATGGGTTGAAAACTTTTAACACCAGCCAACTTTTTTATTCAAAAATGGCTCAGTCAATAACATTATACCTGTGATATCACAATATATGAATTAAAACCTCTATACTAGAGTCCATTTTTCTGTTTAAACACACCATCAATAAGAATATGTATATGACATCTTCATACAATCACCAAAGTCTCTAAACTTAAGTTCAATTTTCTGTTCAAACACTGCACTATCAATAAGAATATGTGTATAATATTTTGATACATTGTTTAAAATCTCTAAACTAGTCCATCAGTACGTACTTAAGCAAGGATACTTATTATGCTAATATAAGAATAGGAAAAAACAATGATTTATAAACATAAGGAAGAATTTTATTGATGGTGGAATATACTAAATGTTTTAATAGAACATACCTGAAGAAGACAGACCAATGTTCTGTCGAAACATGTAGTATGTTCTGCCATCAATAAAATTATTTCTTCTGTTTATGAATCATTGTTTGCCTACCCATTATCATCAATAAAATAAGAATATGTATGTGACATCCTGATACATTCATTGAAATCTCTAAACTAGAGCCCAATTTTCTTTTCAAACATTGCACCATCAATAAGAATGTATGTGACACTTTGTTACACAGTTTCAAATTCCTAAACTAGCCGAACTTTCTGTTCAAATACTTCACTAACAATAAGAATGTGTGTGTGACAATTTTACATATATAGTTTGAAATCTCTAAACTAGAGCCCAATTTTCTTTTCAAACATTGCACCATCAATAAGAATGTATGTGACACTTTGTTACACAGTTTCAAATTCCTAAACTAGCCGAACTTTCTGTTCAAATACTTCACTAACAATAAGAATGTGTGTGTGTGTGACAATTTTACATATGTAGTTTGAAATCTCTAATCTACTGTCCAAATTTCTGTTCAAACATTGCACCATCAATGAAACATAATGACTGATGCATAGTACTAAAATTTGAATTATAATATACAGTTTGATACCACACTTGTTGACACAAGTTCATGATATAGTTGTTCAATAAAATTTTGAATGCGAACCAAAAAACACGATGAATATGTGTGATATCATGACTGATTGACTGGAATCTTTAAATTAAAGTCCACTTTTCTGCACTATCAAAAATGTCTGTGATATTATTTAGATTTTATGTCCAAATAATGCATTCTCAATATGAACATTGTTGTAATACCATGACAGAATGAAAAAAGTATTACCACTGAAACTTAATTATGCAAAAAATTACAGTCCTGTAGAAGAATATCACAAGCATTATCACTAATTAATGTATTATATCTTAATAAATTCTGAACGTCTCACTCCATTTAGCCAAAAGACATAAAAAAAAGTCACACAAATTGATGTGGAAACAAAAAATCCAACGATCCCATCTTGAAATAAGACTACCTCAAATACACATGTATATAGAGTTAAACATTGAACAAAATTAAATATTTTCTCAACCCCAAAACATATTTTAGGAATTCTATCTTCTTTTTTTCTGATCCTTACATTCTACCTTTATCACTCCTGTAAATTTCAAATTCACAATCTGGTAGTCACAATATTAAATAGTATACATTCTTCTATTAATAAATATTCTTCAATTATTAAGCTCTTTATAAGATTCTGATGCAAGTTTAACGTTGATTGTTCCTTAGCTTTTCCCCACCATTCTCGTAATTCACAATCTAAATTTGTTCACACATTCCTTAGAATTTGTTTTTCTCATTTTTCTATACTATTCCAAAACTATGTTTAAACACTTATTTTTAAATCCAATAACTTACATCATTACTTAATTCTATACATTCCTAGAATAACATTGTTTTGACAATTTTGTTTATCATGAAATTAACAGAAATTTTAACTAATATTTTCATGTTCATTTCTTTATTGTTTTTTTTAATTTTTATCACATTCTTAAGTACTGGAATACTTGATGCAACTTTGTATGAACCCTTACCATATTTGGCCCATTATGGTCTCCCCATATTTCTATCCTACTATTCAATAATAGTGCATCCAAGTATTTATAAAGAATTTTTATACTTGTATGTAGTTAACTTCAGTCTAAAACCTTGCTAAATAAACAATTTTAATTTTCTAAATACATTCTCTTTTGGGAATACAACAATTCTTATCATAGATTACAATTATTAACATAACTATATGCTGTAACCCATATATTTGTAGAAACCATAACTATTAAATGTATCATTTACACATTATACAATTTACAGAGTTTTATAAAATATATAGAACATTGTTCACAGATAATAACAATTACAGTAAATCGTTCACATAAAAAATAAAGGTAATCTAGACAGACTGCAAAGTTGTTTAACACCATTTGTACTTTCAAGTATGTCTGATAAACTTTCTTGTCGTATGACACTAACCTAACTTGTTTGTTTTCATGTGTTTCTTTAATTCCTATATTAAGTTGGTTGAATCTATTAACTCTTTTCTGGACTGGTAGAGTGTTACTGATGTCCTGTTCTTTTTGTTCTTACACTTAAAATGCCTTACCAAATTGCATGAAATTTGATAAATACTTTCTACATAATATCTTGTTTCGTGTTTGAAAAAAAATAAAATATATATATATATATATAGTTTTGTATTTGTATAATTTCTTTAGATTGTGAATTTTTATGAAATTTCATTGTGAAACAAAAAATAACCCCTTCCACTTAGTTTCTTTTTAATGTGTGCAGGACATTTTGTACATATTGTAGATGTATCCAATAGCCATTTTTTCAATAAAGTAATTTTTATGCCTGTAGTAACAGCACATTTCTCATCTGTTCATACAAGAGCAACTATAAATATGACAAAAATAAAACTTTTTTATTAGTTCCCCATTACAGGAGGTTCCGAGATATTCCAAGAAAACTTAAAATAAATTTGGTTTAAATGTGTAAAAATGGCAAAGCATTACAAACTAATGGGCCTAAAATTTGTAATTAAAATCACAAACTGCTGATCTATTTTTAACACAATCTTCTTAATTTGCCTATTTCAGATTCAAAATAAGAGGTACGTAAAACAGTATTTAAGATCTATCTTCTGCGCAAGATCTTTTGTTCAATACCAGAATAAAATTCTTAAAGAACTCCTGTTTAGCACCAATCAGCTCATCTCATCAAAATAGCATTTCAATCCTGTAAAATGTTATCAACACCTCAAAACATCCTTGCTTGACCAACACTTTTAGGCAGAGGACAAAGTCACATAAGGTAAGCTACTTCTTTTACTTTTTTAGGTATAACCCATTTCGATTGTAATAAATATTAAAAGTAGCATACAAGTTTTCCTCATTTTTTCCCAATGTAATAAATAATGTTTGTTTGTTTGTAATCAAGCACAAAGCTACACAATGGGCTATCTGTGCTGAATGAACCACTCTAAAAATAAAGCAAAAATTAAATGTAGTCTTTGTGATGTGTATCTTTTCAAGAGGCATTTTGAAGAGCATCATACTTGGCATACCCTCACAAGAAGTAAGGTTTTATTATAATAACTGGTTTATAACTTTCACCTTGGTCCAGCTCATCAGAAAAAAATAAATTACTCATTAGATGTTGTTGTTTTTATTAGAATGTATTAACAAAATGTAAAGGTCTGTACTTCGAACTTCCTTTGTCTACCTTTTATTATCTCAACTATATCATCATCAGTATAAAACAGTTTTTGTGTAAGATACACATTTTCTTTATTTACTTTTTTTTTTTGGTGTAACAATATTTCTGATACTTATACTGTGGTTTTTCATTTTGTCAGAAGTAATGTTTTTCTTTCGTTTCAACTTAGAATAATGTTATTTGTGTATTCTTTTCATATGGAATATGCACTTTGTATGACAACTTGTTTTTTAAATGATATATTCATGCATAAATTACTTCAATATGTAATATATACTAATAACTGGTATTTTGTATGTTTTCCAAATTCATAGATTCTTTTGTACATTTTTAATACATAAAAATAATGCTTTCCACATTCTTTCACAATATATATTTCCATATAGGGGGAAATTAAAACTACATTGAAGATAGTAAGACAGTGTTAGGAAAAATACTAGATCTATATAAAATGTTTCCAACTATAATTTTGGTCATGCTAAATTTCTCTCTTATAATTATCATTTGCTGTCAATAACTAATTAGTTATTGTATGTGTTGTTTTGTGTAATCTCAATAATCTAATGCCACAGATCTAGTTTACCTACTCAATGGCCCTAAATATTCTTACCTGATATCTTCTCACAGAATCATACTTCAAACAGACATAATACAACCCAAAAAGATTATTACAAACAAAAATAACATGAAATGAAACTATATAAAAACTCAAGTTTGTGGCTTGTTCCTAAGTGTTGTAAACTTTGTATTAGAATCTAGTGTTCACTTGTATGGGAACCTTTGTCAGTCTTTTTCTCACAAAACAGTACATTACTGCTCATACCACTATATTTCCTTTAGACTGACATAGACAGGTAAGAATCTTTTCTGTCCAACAATTTTTAGCCTTTGTTTCTATCTGCTTTCACAACTAAGATTCACCAGGTATTGTCTAACCAACCTGTTGTAACATCACAAAAGACTGGCCACACAGTTGAAGAAATAAAAATCACAGACAGAAAAGGAAAGTCACATGAGAAGTAAAACATGGATGAGAGTTTGTAAGCAAACAAAAACCTATACTTGGGATAGGGAAAAAAATATTTCAAAAATCAATAAGTGCATTGTTTACAGGCAATACCCCCTAGAATATGAGCAGAAATCAATAGTGAAACATTTTTTAATTTTCTATCATTAAATAAATGTTGCAAATTATAAAATACAATATCTAAAATATGACAGAGTAATAAATTGTTGAATTACTTAGAACTTCTCTTTTTTTACTTTAATAATGAAATTTGATACACAAATGTGCACCCCACACAAGAAAGCTGCTCTATGGTCTAGAAAGGGTTAAAGTATAAGCTTCAGTGACATTTGCTGTGAATGTTTATTTTCAAAAAAAGAGTTACAAGAACTATCATTTATCAGACGATCTGGAAGAATTATTCATAACATACAATGAAAATTTAAATAATTTGGACCCTTAATGATATTAACTATTCTTAAACATTGTCAAAATAGTGGTTTAGTCTTCTACCAAGCTAATCACAAAGACAACTTTCACTAGTCATCATTTAAAGATTATGTGATTATTCAAATATATATTTGCCCAACACTTTAAGGCAACACATCAAATCAATCACACAGTATTAATAAACTGTGTTTCAAGTATTTCCGTCAATAGTATTTGAATTGTGTACTTCATGTGAGTGCCTATGTGAACAGCCTGCAACTATTAAAATGACAAGTTTCATAATTCCTTACAGATGTGCAGCATTGCCTCAGCCTGTAGATACAGTCAACTGTCTGTCAGTTATATCACTACCAAAATTATCCTACACAAATTGTTGGCAAGTTTTTCATCTTGAACATGCAATATTTTACACAACAGAACCAGAGGCAGAAAAACTTAGACAAAGCAATTTGATATAACTGAAAATTTTGAATTATCCTTTCTATAAGAATACAAAATATAACACATATTAGTCAGCTTTGAAGCTTCCTAATTTGTCAGAAAAGTTTAACATCTAGGCAACATACTGAAATTTAAGCCTACTAGCCAAATGCAAATATGGTGGTTTGGATCCCATGTTTGTTGTTTAATTTTAACAGTTATTTATCTCAACATTATTTATACCAACATAAAGCCAATGTAATGCTTATTTTTGGTTTATGGACAACTTTAAAGAGTATGTCCCCAGAATAATCATTAACCAACTCATTTCTAGTGGTAATATATGTTAATAAATCAACAATATATTTATCAGCTATTGATTAAATTTTATCTCAGCTTCCCATCCTAAACGTTGTTAACTACAATGCTACATATACAGTAGTTACCATCCACAACAATGTTAATAAACTAACCTGAAAATGTGAGGAAGACACACATTTAGCAATTTGTCTAAACAATGGAACCATAACTTTAGTGAATTCTGCTGGCTCTATCACATCCAATATTTCTTCTAATTCACTTAGAAACATTACCTAAAAACAAGAACATCTGGTGTAACAAACATTTAAGATTACGGTATTTAAAATTATAAATTCTCTCTTTTGCTTAAATTTGTCCTAATTAAAAAAAAACAAAAAAAACTTGATTATAACCTAGAGTTATGATAATAATATAGTGTTATAATATATAATAAATAAGATCAGTTTATAGCCTCCATCCAGCCACTTATTTTTATTTGATGAAGTTATAACAAGACAAAATTTACAAGTTATATGAGCAATTTCTACTTTATTTACTTATACAAGAAAAAAGCAAACTTAAGTTCATAGGTTACACCTAGCTTACAAAAAATCATATATCTGCCAAATAAACAAAAATTAAGTTTGGCTTAATATTTAATCATTTTAAAGATTATATTAAGAACATGTTGATCAATTAAGGAGATACAACAGTTGTTTCAATACCAAATGAAGGTATAATGTGAAAAGTTATTACACTGTATAAAAAAACTTGTATTACATAGTTTAAGATATATTTCTTTTCCTCTTGTAAAACAAATCTTATTTTCTTTTAAGCTATAATGTACACATAATAGGAAATATTTAGGTTATTCAATACTATTATATGTGTGTGTGTGTGTGTGTGTGTGATGGGAGTAAAAAATTTCTTACACAAAAATCTTTCTAATGCATTGTTTAAAATCTAACAAAATTATCAGCATGCATATTAGTCGACTTTTATTAAATTGTCAGAGATAACAGTGATCATTTGGCCCATCTAGGCTATCCCATTTTCTATTACCATCCTACTCCAAATCCTTCTTCTCATATTCAACCTTGATCACTAAAATAATTATCCAATTTTCTCTTAATCCTTTGTCTTATATAGCAAAGATGTAACATAATTCTTATAATAAAATTTTTAATTTTGATTTTTTCTATTATTTATACTAAAAATCCATTATTTATTGTAGTTATTTGCACTCAGATTCTGAATAGCTCATATACAAGGCGATTTTCATGTTAAGTATAAAAATACTTTTTTTTATTTAAAGTGGTTTTCAAATTTTATTTACATAACTTCTAGAACCTCCTAAATGAACATCAAAAGTTTTTTTTAAGGTAAATGTTTATATCTTACTTTCCATTTTCTCTACCATATCACTAACTGTAGCTATTAACATCAATTAAAAGTGCAATGAAATATGTGATACCTTTTAACTCTTCATCAAACAATCTTAAAATATCTTCTTTGGGTTATATGCTTGATTTCATGCCTTTACCTTTTCACTTATAGTTTATTTTAAATGTTTTACTTTCCTTTCCCATTTATTATTCATCTCAACACATGTCAACAGGTGCCCAAGAGCAATATAACAGTATCATCAGTTAAGACACTTTTAGCCTCTGGCAAAATGTTTATGCCCTTGCTTAGTAACTTAAACTTCACAGAGCAAGTTGAAGCTTGGGTTATATTAAAAAATTACTACACCGTTCAAATATGAATTTTAAAACAAAAATATTAAAATATTAAATGTATGAAAAGTAATGTTATAAAAATATGATGTATAAACAATTAGATGGACAAAGCCAGGTACTCTAGCCCACAACATCCTAGTGTCTGTTATCAATCAATCAATCACCTGCTACAGCAGATTGAGGAAGTTGCCTATGAACCCTTTTTAGAACAAGTGGATGTAGAGAAGAAGAAACTATAAGAGTATATTAAAAAGGGGAATAGACTGGCAGAAAAAAGAAGATGAATAAAAAACATTAATTTAAAGTGATTAGTCTAGCTATGAGTTAGGGTTAACAGAAATTATAAGAAACATATATATGTTTGAAAGAAACTGAACAAAATTTGGTTAAATTAAAAGAGAGGAATAATCAGTGGAAAGGACAGAAAATGATGTTGAATTAAAGAGGAGAATAAATAAAAAAGAATATGAAACTAGACCATTGGAAAAGAACACTTATAAAGCAAACCACTTTAATATAGAAGAAAAACGTTTTATGTAGATTTCACAAGATTAAACAACTGAAAGCACATACTAATATTATAGGTAATTAGTTATAAAACAGTACAGTAGTTTTAATAAGTACCGTTAGTACAACCACTTTCTTTAATTCCATAACACAGCATTTTAACACTGCTTAGGAAATAGCATGAATCAGTATACATTTCTTGATAACTATAAAGTATGGAATAAATAACACCTTTGGTCATATATTTATATATATTAGAAGGTAAAATCAGTAAATTAGTTAAGAGAAATACACACTTTTTAGCAAACATATTTATTTTTGCACAATTATTTTTAACTGAAATGTAAAATTACAAAAAATGTACTTAAGTGTTAGAAATGGTACTTTCCTCTAAGTGTAATTCCTCAAAATAAATTTAACGTAAAAATGCTTGAAAAAATCTATATACAATGTGAAGTTGAACATCTTCGTTTGATAAATAACACAAAATAGTCTTATGCTTTTGTTAATCTACTTTATGTATATATGTATACTTCATCTTTAATTCTGATGTAATTCTAAAAACAACTGTTCAGTCACTTGATTGTAGAGATTATGCAGTGCATTGGATAAAATGATTGATAGTAAGAACATCTACATATCTAAAACTATACATCTGTGAATAAAATTTTTACAAATTTCTTTTCATAATAGTGCAGAGTTCATACAACCTTACATGTACAAAATTTGAGGACTGTCACAAACCTTCATAACAAATTTCAAGGGCCCTAGTTTACCCTACTTGTTCAATAATAAGAAGTCTATAACTATCTGTATAAGTTTAAATTTTTTTCTCATCTTTTAAATTTCTCGCTAAAGGCTTGGTCGATTCGGCCAAGTTCGTGACCCCAAATTGACCTTTAGTGTTTCCGTACTATAGCTTTTAACCCTCTCGCTACTGGCAGGTCAAAGGGAACATGTCCCTTCTAGAAGTATGGAATTTAATATAAATTACTCATTATAATATTGTTATTGTGACCCCTCTGGCCACACTCTCTTTCACAAATTGACAATAGTTCTTTATGACATTTTGTACTGTATTACTTATAACCAATAGAAAGCCAAAGTTTTAAACTATCAAATGGTGTATTATCTTACATTGTTTTCTGTACAGAGAGTTGTCTATTAAAATTATGCTTTGCCTGAGTAATATATAAATTGTAATGAGTAATTTACATTAAATTCCATAATTCTCGGAGGGTGGTAAATATATTAGTGAAGAAGGAAAGCCCAGAGAGCAAATATCACAATTCTCATACTTGGGAAAATTGAGGAATTTTTTTTTTAATATTACCTTATAAAATTACCTATAAAATATTAAAATTTGACTTATTAACTTTGTTTTGATGCCGAGTTCATTCATATTCAATGATAATAAAGTAGTTTAATTAAATTTTGGTTGTATTTCTAAAAAATGTTGTGACATGTGCACCTTGACCTACCTGTTGCGAGAGGATTAAAGAAGATGCAACAAACGATGTTCAGGTATTAGAACCGAGGCATCTTTACATTGAATTAATTAGATATTTAAGAATTTGTATTTTTTTAAGATAAATGCTGTTCAGCACAAAAATTCAAGGAGTTGAAACTGTAAGTCAAAATTCAAGGACCTGTATGAACCCTGAATAGAATAAGTAAATTTTTTAATTAGTAGAGCAATTGGCAACAATAAGGAATACCAATGACCTGATCTACAATCTTATTTTTAAAATAAATACAAATTATTGTAAACAAAATATTACAAGTTTATTACATTTGTAGTCAGAGCTTTGTTATGAGCAAAAATTTATTCAGTTAAGGAAAAGACAACATGTAAATGATCTTTTATTTTAACTTTTGTATGTAAAATTGTAAGATCAATGGTTTTCATGCAAATTATATTATGAGAAATAAAACAAAATAAAAGAAGTGTGTCATTGTTTAAGATCCACAACATACAAATATCTTCAGTGTTGACAGCTTGTTTGATAATGTACATGAGTTGTGTTATTAAACTATTTAAAATAAATGTTAAAAAACAATTACAAGACACAAAACAATATGATGTTTTCACAAAACCCAGTAAGTAACTTTACAAACCAATAAGCTTTAAAAACAAACTTACTTCTTTTGGGCTGTGAACTTTAGGCCAGAACTTCAACAAACTTTTTATTACCTGTAAACAATTCATAAGCTTGAGTTTCAGATAAATACAAAAATTCACTGTATACAAAAGCAGTTTCTTGAATAATTTATAATAATATTTATGATAATGCAGACAGTTCAACAATAACAAAGGAACTATCATCACTGGTTTCTGAACTATCTCAGAAACTGTAGATCAATAAAGACAGAACTAAATGTTATAATACTTTAAAAGGTTACTAACTCCTTCGTGAAATGTAAAAGGGTAGCAATAACAGAACTACCATGTTGAATGGTTATTAAGCCAGCTATGAAACAATAGAACTAAGACTATTTTGTAACTAAAAACTTACATGTAATTTTAATAAGATCTCTGTTCAACGGTTTCTCATTTGACGATACAAATTTTGATGTGATATTTTAACTATAAAAAAATGTGTGTAAGTTTTTGAGATAGTTGTGCCAAATATTAATGAAGTAAGAAGAAGATTGTGTCAATCTATGGATTATAAGATACAAAAAATTAATATAAAATACAAATGTCTTCAGAAAATAAATCACTTTAAACAGAAGCAGGGTCTCAAGCTTTCAATTTACTTTATGGATTACTAATCTTAAATTCTGATGTTTCTTAAGAAGGAAAATAACAGTCTGGTCAAACTTTGTAAGATCATGAAAATAGTTTACATCTATATATTAAATAGGTTGTACCAGTATAAAGTCTAATTACTACCAGAATTGGAACAAATCAACTTCACCTTAAAATAATTATTTATGGTGGCATGAATATAAAAATTATTACTCAAGGTTTTTCAGAGTAAATTGTTAACAAAAGTTTTTTTTACGGAAAAGTAATTGAAATTTTGTGTCAGTAAACAAATAACTGAAACAAATCATAAACTATAAAAAAATTTCGTGGTTCAGTATTATACATAAGTGCACAGAACAAGACTTCCAAGCTACACCTACACCAAGCAGGTATTAGACATACAATTACTACTCACTGGCTCTGTGAGGCTTGCATCTTTTTCCAAAAACTGTACAACACAGTAAGCTAACTGGGGATGATACACACCAAGAGACTTCACTTTATGAAGTGGCATTATTACTTTTAACAGAAACACCTTGTGTTCTTCTTTGAGTGGTAGAGCAAATCCATTGATGATACTAGAATAGCAAAGCAAATACTTTTTACTCTTAACATGCATGTAGATACAAAATAATTTCCTGCAGTTTAATGATAAGACTGTTGTCTTTTTTCTTTTTATAACTAAAGGTTATTTAACCTTTTCAGTTTAAAATAACTTTCACCAGACATCAATTAAATAAATTATAATTTTGTTAAAATAAATAAAAGTGAAAAAATAATGCTAGTGAACAAGTTTAATGATTCTTTATATTAAAAACACTAACAATAGCATTTACAATCTTCTTCATGACAACAAACATATAGATGAAACATTTTTAACTTTCTTGATATTGTATGCAGTTCACTGATTACTTACCTTCCTAAAATTTCTAATAATTCTGCAACTCCATTGTGCCGTTCTGTTTCATAGATGAACCTAGAGTAAATTATAATATTATCAAAGAAATGCATAAAAATAACTTTTATTAGCTAATAAAAAAGTAATACAATATTACATATTAAAGAGGTTTATGACGATAAAAGAAAATTGTTTTAGCTACTACAGTAAAACCATTATATTAACTACTGAAGAAAAGTGGAACATCATAAAAAGCATACAACAAGTATTAAGGGGAAAAAAAATTAAAAGTTAAAGAAAAATACACTGCTGACTGACCAACAGAGAGAGAGGAATAAATCTATAAAATAATGCTCAATAACAGATATTTAAAAACTGGCAGTCATAACTAACAAAATACTGCCAAATAAACAGCAAAGTGAAAAATGTACATTCAAGATAAACTATGCCTTCTCTAGTGATCAATTCAAGAAAGAAGAAAAGCAGAATTTGGCTGTAGTTGCTGCCAGCCAGTTACCTTCCCTTCTAATCAGCTGTTTAAAATTAATGACAGTGGCAAATAGCCTAAGTACATTTGTCATAACAAAAAGAGAGCAAGTTTGGTAGCAGTTGGAGTTGAGCCAGAGCTTTACTGTACTTCTGCTACTGACACAAGTGTGGGGTGACTTGTATCATAAATGATTATGCAAACCCACATCATCACTGACAGCCAAAGAGATACTAGCACATAAGTTGTACAACACCCAAAAATAAACTTCACAAACACAGCCACTCTAAAAAAAATTACCATTGTCAGAAATGGATAAGCATTGCAATGTCGAGTTTAACACAAAAATCTATCATTTTACAACAAAAAACCATACTTATATTGTGGTAATATTAAAAAAACTTAATATTTATAATAAAACTAGGAAACTGGGTTCATTTCTTATTAACAGATTTTATAATGGGAAAAGTCACCCTCTAACTTATGAGGTTCTCCTTGATTTATAAAAACATTAATTACATAAAAAGATCATAACATTTACTACATCTACATTATTTTGGATTGGTTTGGTTCAGTTTTAAATTAGATAAGCAGGCATTTAAATACACCCTATATCTTGCTGAATGCCGCTTTTTGATAATTTTCTAAATAATTAACTTATCAAAGATAACAAGAAAGATCTCATTGCTCATATAGTTAATTATTCTTCCAGAAGTATCTAAGTAATAAAATAGAACATTTTCATATCAGCTTAATTGTTTTTGACCCAACCAGTTTGCATTTTCTAAGTCCACAATTTTAATTTCAGTTAAATTTCAAATTCTACATGATCACTTTCCATCTTTGTAAGAATATTTTAAAACAGGCTTAACACTGAGAGAAATTTAGTCATGATCTAAGCTGAACCATTCTTTTTAAGATTCACTGATCATACTATGGTAACTTTATTAAATTTTGTTGAACAATATTTGCTGTCCATACTTCACATAACTGGAATCTAGATATCAACATTATTCCTTGTTACTTCCAGACCTTGGAACTCAGTTCAATATTATCTGATGACTATATTTACAACTTATTTCATGCTATGAGTTAACAATGAGAACCAAGTTAAAAGTTGCAAAAAAAAAAACACTGTCTAAACTGAAAGATAAGTTTCAATTTTGGCAATTAGTTACTTTTATTGTAATCTTTATGTGCTATTCTTACAAACAAAGCTTATTTCTTTTTTTTTGTTATAATATTTTCATCCCATTACATTCTGTAGCTTTCTAGTCCATTATGGTTGATTAAACCTAGTATCTGCTTTTTACAACATTAAAAAAACAAATATAGCCTAGCAAGTTTTTAAGTAATCTGATATAGTTAAGAAAACTAACTTATTTTAAGTCTGAATCTTGAAACCAAATGATTTTATTACATATACAGAGGATTGTTCACAATTCATTGTAACAACTTGCACATTCAATTACCATGCCTCTAGCCATCCTCATGGCTTGTGACTGTATTGGTTAAAAGCCCTGACCATTTTGTTGCAATTGTGGTGATTTGCAAGTGATTTTAAAATTGACCCCTTCTGGGGGGTTTACTTTACAGGATTTTCCAATGATAAATTCTACTACTATGTGATTATGAAAGCGTGCAAGGCACAAAAGTTTAGTTTTTCAAAGAAAGATACTTGTAATGCTCAACCACATTTGGTAAAACAATGAAAGGTGTAATTCCAGCATAGAAAATCAGAATACTCTATGACAAGTTACGAGTCATGCACTGGAGGTAATAAAGGAAATTAACCCTCTGTGTACAGTGTCAGTTTACTGTGCATGTCATAACACTTTACAGAGTTACATTCAAAATTTACATAATTTTAATATCAGTGTATGTCAATTAAAACTTAGTTTTCAATTCATATTTTTATATTATCCAAGTTTTAATTTTTTTTAAAATGAAATATTTAAAATTTTCAATCATCACTTGTGTTTTCACATTATGTGTGCCCTCTCAATTCTTTCACTTTCTAGATTGTATAACTTCAATAATATAGTTTCTACAGCGTCTAGCTAATGTAAATACAACATGTAAATAATGTCAATGTCATATTTCAAAATTCTAATTTCTCCATTTCTTAAGGTATCAATATATTTCTCCAACCCACAAGAGAAGCTTTGCCCATCTATCAATAACTTTCAAGGCAGTTTTCAAAACCTTGTGTTCTTATTAGATGTACATATTTATAACCAACAGAAAGATATTTTTTTCTATTTCAATTTGATGGCAAAAAAGACATTAGTTAAGAGGAGGTGAGAGATGTGTTTAAGTGAAGTTGTTGCTCATAGTAGTTTTGGGACATTCAGTTCTAGTGACTAATATATTTTAGTGTTTTAAAATGCATACTTGAAAAGTACATAAATTTTTGTTTGAACACAAACTTAGAGAAAAAAAACTAAGACTGATCAGCTATGCATTTGAATGTATATTTCATGTTCTGCAGTACATCAATGTACAAAAATCAGCTAATGTGTTGCTTTTTGGATGAATAAACTGCTTACATGGTACAAGTCAGAAAATAAAACCATAAGATTAAAGTACGAAGAAGTTAAGAGTTGAAACTGGGAATATCATCAAATGAAGATGTGGCAACAAATGCTGTATTCAAAGAAAAAGTGTACATTTCATAATTCTCAACTTTACATTTAATGCACATTGAAGATTTTAGATACAGGAAAGTGTTAGGGTAGAAAAAACTAACAGATATTTTACTAGAAGAAAATTTTAATGTTCATTTAAGAGGATCTATAAGTTATGCAAATTAAATACGAAACTACAGGAAAGTGTTACGTAAAAAAAAACTAACAGATAGTTTTACTAGACGAAAATTTTAATATTCATTTAAGAGGATCTATAGGTTATGCAAATTAAATACGAAACTACAGGAAAGTGTTAGGTAAAAAAAAACTAACAGATAGTTTTACTAGACGAAAATTTTAATATTCATTTAAGAGGATCTATAGGTTATGCAAATTAAATACGAAAACTGTAAGATGTAAAGAAGTATTTTATTCTTAGCATGAAAATCATCTTTCACTCAGAATTGAGTCATATTGAATATATAAAGGCTTTAGAAATTTATAAACAAATCTTTAATATAAATACTTTATTAAAAATTCTGATTTGTTATGTACAACAGACATGTAATGTTTACTAAAAGCTAGCCAAATTTTGTTAAGATACATTCAGAGTTCTAGTATGTATAGCTTCATCATTTTTGGGCTCATGCAAATGGGCTCAGCCAAATGTAAAGAGTTAAAAATTTGTCACTAGAAGTAGCCCAAGGACAGAGCTGTTCATTCCAACTCTAGTTAGAGTCTCCCTTAGAACTGTAAACAAGATTATTCATACATGTTCAGATCTACAAAAAAAACAACCTGAGCCATGTTTAAATGTGTTTCCCAAAGTACACAGCCAAAGGAAGAGCAACTGTCAAAGGCTGCGCAGCAGTACCTGGCACATAACAAATGGAAGTATATCATCACACTGGATTAAGCATATACATGTATACTTAAGTGTGTGAAAAAGCCTGTACAATTTATTACTGTCCTGCTGGTGATACATTTTGCAAATGGTACAGAACATACCATGGAATTTACAGTGCTTGTAAATTACTTATAATGGTAAATTAAACATCTGGAGGGTAATGCAAAAATGCCAAGGTAAACTCTGCATATTATCAGATTAACACACTGGCATCACGAAACTGCAAGATGATACTGTCTGTGTACAGAATGGATGCCAATAAGCTACAGCTCCATCAAAACAAAACCGCCAGATACACATCCATGTTAACAAATCAGTTCCTCCACATAAAACAAGTATAAATGGAAATTTGTGCTATACCAACTGCAGATATCTTTTCAGAATTCTCTTGTGCATTTAACTTCTCAAATGAGTCACTGTCCACATCTAGTTGGTGAACTTTGGAAAGCATGTAAATAGGAAAAGACAACATTGACCAATACATTGCACAAAAGCCTCCTGCAGTGGATATTGCACCATAGAGCAATAACCAGTGCCATCCTATAAAACACTATCAGTGGTAGAAGAATGGCTTTGAGGTCTCAGCTCTTATCTTTGTATCCTTCATCATTACTAAAGATTGAAAATGCCCCTCTGTATTTTATAGATTCATATGTAACTGAATTTGTTTTATTTTATTCAGTTATTTACAAATAAAATTTGTGTGAATCATAAGGTCTCTAATAAATACTTTATACATATATATATATATACACACACACACTACAAAGCAGGCAAGTTAAAATAATTTTACCTGGCTATATTAAAGTATTTTTTGTCTTAAATATTAAGTTAGTTTGTCTAACCCTAATGTAAACAGGATACAGCTAACATACTTAATACACTTTAAGAACGGTTAGAGAAAGAAAATTATACATATATATATAAACATTGAAAAGATACATTATGCCAAATATGCCATTGAATTTTTTTTTTTTTAGAAACAGATCATTCTTACCTATAAAAGATATTGTTAATCTGTTTCCTAATGTATGCTCTAAGACCCAAGAACTTTCCATAAATCCTATGTAATGTTGTCTTCAAAAAATCTCTCTCTCTGGGGTCTTCACTATCAAACAGCTCTAGTAACTGACAGAAAAAGAGAAAGCATGGTATAATGTTTACCTAAAATACATGTTAGTGCCAAATTACATAATTCAATACAGTGACGTGAGATACTCCACTCATTCAACAAGTGATTTAGAACTTACGTGGTGGGATCATTAGTTAAACATGGTTCAAAGGGCAATAAAATAGTGAAATTAAGTATAAACAGACTTAGACTGTAATGGACCTAAAGCTAGTTTTCTGTTACAATAATCAGTCATTTTAGAAAGAAAAAAAGGGTAATTTAGATTTATTTCATATTTTTTCATGGTGGTTACAGGGTCAGTCAAGTTGAACGTGTCCACATAAATTTAAGAGAGAGAAAATAACAGATAAAATTAGTTTGACTGAAAAAAAAGTCTGATATCTATTTAAGACAAGTTTTGGAGGTTACACAAACAATAATATGAACATTTTCTGAACAAAAAAAATTAATTTTTTTTTATCTTAACATTAAAATCACTGTGCACACTCAGAGCCATCAACACTCTGGTTCCATCTATTCTCAGACAAATCTTTAGTAAAAATACTTAGTTAAAAAATCTAATTTATCGTGTATAAATAATAATAATACACAGAACATATTAACTCTTTCAACCCGGGCTTGGTCCATGGGACTGATCTCGTAACCATTCTGTGCTTGTTATAGTTTTCATGCTATAACTTTTAAGTTAGTAAGCAAATGTGAACGAAATTTGGCAGTTTATCAGTAAACATTACAATGCTTTCATATGCAAGATATTTAATTCTTTCTATTAAGTTTTAAGGTTTGTAAAGCAATGTTTCTTTCATGCCTTTTTTTCTTTTTACATCTTGTCTATCTATCATGCAAAGTAATTTTCATCTTAACATTAAAATACTTTTATGCATCAGAAAATTTTGAAATTTCACATGCTAAATCTTTATAATGTCCAACTAGTTGTCACATGTTTCTTAAGAAAAAAACTTTATATTTTACCTGTTATTTTCAGTAATTAATCTCTGTACAGGTTCAGTAAATTTGACCGATTTCGCAACCACCATAAAAAATTAGGAAATAAATTATGCATCTTTCTTTCTAGAATGAACACAAATTATAACACGAAAACATAAATGCCTGGCTAACAATACAGAAATTACAACAACACGGCTCACGTGCACTCGTGTTATCGTATCAAATAACATAAAGGTGACCTTTGGTCTGTACAAAGTAAGTTGTCTTGGCTGTGTTTTAGTAGACCAGTATTTTGTAAAATACAGTCACATTTCAGTTATAATACATTATATATGTATGTACGTTATTACTATTTACAAATAAGTTCTTAAACTTATTTTTCTTAAAACATAGAACAGTAAATAAAGAAGAAAAGCAAACAATTATCTCTTCTAGTTGCGACCTTTGTACTCGGTTGCTGCTTGATGTAGGTTGCTAAGCCTTTAAAAGTTTTGCATGTTGTGGACATGAAACAAAATATTTTTTTAGGTTTTATATATACTTTTGAATAACTAAAAAATCATAACTTACTACATCAATACCATAGAATTGTACTATAATTTATCAATTATTACTGTAGTAACTAAGCTGTATTTGGGTCTAAAAAATGTGAAATTTTGAGCAGACTAAATACACAAATAGAAAAGATAATACATTCTTATTTTATATTCTAGCTTGTCAATACCTGTAATTTGAGTTTCTAATTCATATGGAACTACAGACTTAGTATTTTGACTTCACAAACATCTAATTTGAACCAGTGCTGCATTCAACATACCACGTGCACACAAAAATTGATGTTTATCTGTGTTTTTTAATATTTACTTTTAAATTAACAAATTGAGTAATGTATAGTTTTAAATTTGAATTATAATCTACAGTTTGATACCAAACTTATTGACATAAGTTCATGAAATAGTAGTTCAATAAAATTTTGAATATAGGTCAACAAACAAGATGACATGGCCTTTCACCTGTGACCCGTATTGAAAGGGTTAAAAGTTATATATATGGTATGGAAGATGTATAAAAGATCAGTCACATCACCTGACCATGTATGTAAAGTTTATCAACCACACTGAAGATTATGACACTCACTGCTTGACCCTATCACAAAGGGAGCACCTTCAAATGTTTTTCTGTACAAGTCATTGTGTTACATTCAAAATATAATTAAACACCTTTACTATCAATATATGTGAATGAAATTAATATAATGTACGTTATGATTCAAAGTTTTATTTTGTCCAAGTTTTAAGTCTTTTATTTGAAAATAAACCTTTAAAAAACTACTTCATACTTCAGATGTATTGTCAAATGATCAACGAGCTATGTAAATTCTCTATTTTGGCTCTCTGTATCATCAATAATACAATGGTAATTGAGTAGAGGTACATCTAGACAATAAGATGCTTACATAACCTTTTTGACTCATTCATTTCAAAGTTCTCTGAATGAATACAGTTGAAACAAGTAATAAATTTTTTCATCCCCTGCCAGGTGCCATGCCCACCTTCAACAGATGTGTTTGAGCTTTGTAGCCTACATGTAGATGCCACATACACGTGTATATTCATTAGAAAGAGATCATTTTGCACTGTATTCTAACAATGGTTATTTTGAAATTGGCACTCAGTTATCATCACAGATTACATGCAATTGACTATTAGATTGTTAGTTGCTTGATCGAATATAGCACTTACAGCTGTTTCTTACCTAAATATGTTATAGTTAGAGATACAGTTTATATTGTATTTAGGTCTTACTATTATATTTTAGTTAATTATGTATTAGTTATGTTTCAAATGCATAATTATAAGGTTCAAACATTTTTTAAATATACATCATACTTTGTGTCCATTCTCAAGGCTTACAATATTATGTGCTGAATTTTGCCAAAGGGTTGTACATGTCTCCCACAGAAACTGTAATATGCCTAGAGGGCACCGCTGATTTGTGTCGAGATGAATAATAAGTGGTAAAGGACAAGAAAGGAAAATAATACATTAAAAATTAACTGTATGTGAAAAGTAAAAGACCTGAAATTATGAATTTAACACAGAGAAAATACTTAAAAGATATTCTACAAAAAATTAAAAGGTATGTTGTTTTTTCAATTTCTTAATTTTAATCATTTCATTGCATTGTACGTTAATGACAATAGCTAGTTAGTAATTTGGTAGAGAAAATGAAAAATAAAATAAACATTTACCTTAAAAAACTTTTGATATCCTTTTAGGAGGTTCTAGAGATTATGCAATTGAAATATGAAAACTATAAAACAAACTATTTTTACACTTAAAATGAAAATCACCTTGCACTCGATTTATTAAATTTGAATGCAAGTAACTACAATATAAAAATAACATATTTTTGTAAAAACACTTAATTATAATAATGTCATTCTCTGTGTACAAGAAACTTATAATCTTTAACAAAATCTTAACAGTTTTTGAATGGATATGTTAAGAAATCTCAGAGTTATTGCATGTATTGCTGTACAAGTGAGATTCACGACTCAATATCTACAAATTGCACGAGCCCACTGCAAAAGGGTTAGCTGTTAAAGAATGATTTGGCTTAATATAATTCAAATTTATTTTTAAGATTTTCATTCATTTTTTTAAACATGAAATTCAATACCTTGTGTATGAAATTTTAGTGCCTAAAATTACATGAGATAATAACTACTGAACTTAAAATAAACAAAACAAGCCCAAACAAAAAAACAAAATTAAATTAAAGATACTGCATATATTAAAAGGATCCCCACGGATTAAAATATGCCCTGAGTTTTGAGGTGACTGCAGAAGTAAGACCCACATTGTGGTGGGGATACACTGGCTGTCAGTCTTAACCTCCTTTGCCAGTGAAGGGTAATATAGATGTGGGACGTGGCTTGAGCACCCACATCTTGCTATCCTGACCTCTATTTCCTTTTATGATGTTATTTGATTTTTTATGAATTTCTTCATGTGACACTGGTGAACAGAAGTTAACCCTATTGACATAAGGTTATGTCATCACATTTGTTGACTCGTTTGCTGTAGATTATAATTCAAATTTTAGTATTATACTTCCGTTAATTTTTTCCACCTTAGGTACTCACAGTTATAACATAGCTAAATTCCTTGTGCCCATCTTAAAACCTTTTACAACACCTGGATCCTTCCAATTTTCCCGAGAAATCAGTCAACTCCCCCCACTTTAAAATCATGAGATGGTTAGCTTCGATATTACTTCTCTTTTTACTAATATTTCCCTGGACGAAACTATTGATATTACACTTTATAAGCTCATTGCTAAAAACATTCTTTCTTGTCAATGGACTTTCTAAATCTGATTTCAAATCTAAGCTTGAACTCTCTAATAAAGACTCTCCCCTTGATCCTATGCTTGCCAACATTTTTCTTTGTCACCACGAACAGAACTAGATTGACAACTGTCCTTTAAGCTTCAAACCTGTTCTCTACAAAAGGTATGTTGATGATACTTTCCTTATTTTCTGCCATATTGATCATATCAAAAGCTTTCTTGACTATCTTAATTTACAACACCCCTCTATACACTTCACTCATAAAATTGAGACAAATAAGTCTTATTTCCTTTCTGGACATTCTTGTTAACTATGATTCTAATGGTTTTTCATCTTCTGTCTATCATAAAACACATTTACTGGCCATTTTATACCATTCTCATTCAAATGCAATCTTATTCTCTGCCTACTAAATAGAGCCCACAAACTTACCTCACCCTATCTAGCCCTTCACAAAGAAATTACTTCCATACAAAGCATCCTCTTTCAAAACAGCTATGCCAAGCATTTCTTAGAGAAAATAACTTCCTCATTCTTAATAAATTTGTTTGACAAACCACCTAAGATACCTGCTTACCATATCTTGGAAGACAGAGCTCCCTTATCACAAAACAGTTGAAAAAATTATGTAATTCTTACTATCCCCAAATTGACCTGAAAATTATTATGAAACCCAATTTCAGACTAAAAAAATATTTTTCTGCTACAAAGATTGTTTGCTGACTGTCCATTGTTCACATCTTATCTACTTATACATGTGCAAAGACTGAAAGACCTCCCATATTGATGATACCAAACATCACCTTAAAGTATGAGCATGTTAACACATGGGCATATCTATAAAAACTGGAAGAAAGGTTACAAACTTTTTCAACTCCGCTATCTAACAGCACGATACAGAAACAGGACATCTGATTTCTCTCTCCAACTATAAAATTCTCTCAACAGCTAAGCACGATACCAAACTTCTTATAAAAGAAACATTATACATAAAAACTGTTCTTCCATCCCTAAATAATTCAGTCTTCACTTTATTTCACCTATTTTTATTTAACTATTTCATTTGTGCCACATTTTCATTTTCTCATGTTATAATCTGTATATTCAAATTGTTTACTTCTTATGTTTATCATATTTCTGTTGTAATTACAAATATTGTTTGTTTTGTAAATCCCAATTACTGAAGATGGAATTTTGATGATTCTGAAATGTTTAATAAATGCTTCCTATTATCATTTGTGTTGTGCTTTATCATTAAGTTACGTTTTCCAAAAAATGAGTTGATTATTAGAACTATAATGTTTTTAGCTTATGTACAATGTAGAAGAAACAAATCAACTTTTCAATACTCTATGACCTTCACAGTACCTTATTTAGTATTCTACAAAAGATTTGCATGCAATATATCAAACCGTTTTTGTTGTAGGCTGCCAAGAGAATAACCTATAATGAATTTGCAATGTAAAAAGCTGTCATACAAGCAGCATTTGTTTTCTTTTTTACAGCCTTAAATATGCACTGGTTAATGTTTTATCCATTTGTGTCAGATAGAGTTTTTTTGTAATAATTTAGGATTGCACATGTCACATATACCTGCACACATTTTTCAGCAAGTTCTTCAGTCCTTGTGAGAGAAAAAACCTGTCAAGTCTCACAATAAAAAGGCAAAATGTTTACCTATAAATTTCAATTCAATAATAATAAACTTCATACATAAAAAATTGGTAGTTACCATACCTGCAAAACAAAATTCTGATCTATATATCGTTTAGCAAGATTTGGCTGAAAGTCTGGAGACTCAAGGAACCTCAAGAAGAATTCATAGACGAGCTAAAAAACAGAAAAAAAAAAATTTAAATCCTTTTATTGTTAAACTATTTCTTCACACATGGGCACTCACTGTAAATTGACCACAATGCTTACATTCATTTGATTAGTATCAATGAATTTTTATGCTACCTTTCAACACTTAACACAAGAAAACTGTACTTAACAGAAAATATCTTTATTTTACATTGTATGGTAAACTGAGATCATTGCAGCAAAAATGTATGTGTAGGAAGAAAGGTATGTTAGTTCTTTACCGATATTTGTTTTATAACAAGAAATCAAGTGAAAGATGTAGAACATATTTCAAAAAGGCATTAATGGTTTTAATACTCAAACAGTTTAGATTCATGGTATGATGACAATTTAATTATTTAAACACAGCAAAAACTTAAGTAAAGCTCATGTTTTACATCTCTGAAAGGAATAATAATAATAGCAGAAAACTCAAGAATGTGAGAAAATAGCCTTCATTTAAAGAAATTACATAAAATTTAACTTAAATTTTCTCTTTAAGACTACACTTATGAGAAGTATTCTATAAAATCTATATCTAACAGTAAAAGCATTTTAAATAAATTATTTCTACCAGACCCCAGAACCTCAAACCACCTGAAAAATAACTAATATTCAGAATCAGTATTTTTGTAAATATAAATTGTATTAATATCTGTTTTAAATAAAGTAATAAAAAAGAATCCAAACTGCTAATTCTAATTTTGAATATTTGCCTACCAAATTGCAATTTAGATATGGGAAGTAGAAATATTTAAACTTTCCACCCATATAGATAACAATTGTAAACAAAATGAAACAAAGCTGCAAATCTGTGGTCTTTGTACATAAATGCTACTTATTGTAATCAAACTCAAGTTGTTTAAAAAAGAGTAAGTTTTGAAGTTTGTAATGTCAAAAAAGCTTAAAATTCAATAACACACACTTTTTTGTTTTACATTTTTCAAAATTCTAAAGCTAACAAAATTGTACATATACATTGTCTGAAAACTCAAATTATTTATTTTTTGTAATCTATTTGTCGTAGAAGTCCCTTTTACCTTATATGGACTGTAAATTTTTAAAATTTTAGTTATTACAACAGAAGCTTTTCTTGTTAACATGCATTCAAGTAATCCAACTACATCTTTCTTTTTTATCCCAGGTATGGTAATAAATTAATTCTATTGGTTCCCCTGCTTGTTTATGTATTTTGTTAAAGTAATTACTGCTTTTTTCTTCACAAAAAAAAACTTCCTCTGAGCTCTGCTAATTTGAAACTAATGAAGTTTTACTGTGGATTTTATCCCGGTAAGAGCTTACAGATTAGCAGGGAGTCATTCTGATACAACTTTTAAGTCATTTTTAAAAGGACAACATAAAAAAATTTTAGGAATCAGATATAGTAAGATAAATACTATCTCTCTCTTTAATTTTACAATATGTAACTACATTATGTTTTGTTACAGAATTTCTTTCAATAATGTGGGAAAGTACATGAAGTCATTAGGTATGTGATTATACTGATTTAGGAGTCATAGTTATGGATAGTTTCCATAATTATATAATATGTAGCTATGCCAAGTAGTAGTTTTTATTTCATTACAAATTATAAATTTAACAACCTAAAATGAAATATAGATTAACAAACATTAAGTGGTTAAGTTTGAAACATCTATGTTTCTAATATGGTGATACTCATGGTTTAATAATTTTCAAGCATGTATATGCAAAAATGGCACTATACTGCCACCAGGTTAGAAAAGGTTAAACCTATGATGTTCCACTAAATAGGGTTAAATTTCTAATACTATTGGCTCACCCATTTTATATCCAAGAAAGACAAACATTTTGTAAAGCCACCAAACATTTCATGTTCACTATGTACTACAGAGTACTGTAAACTCTGCAATTCACTTCACTGAAACAACTCTATGTGAGACCACTATATGTAGCATAGGATGAACTGGGGGAATAACTGGTGCAACAACAGTAGTCTTGCCTTGTTATAACTATATTACACACATTCTGATTACTCTTTAAATATTTTTTGCAATGTAATTTGAATATAAATTATTTCAACAAATTTAGATCCACTCTGTAAAAGTAATTCAACATACATATATTAAATGTTTCAAATAATGAAAATTTTCTTCCAATTGTTAAAAATATCTTTCTTATTCCTGTGCTTTTCTAGCTCTTAATTACTCTGTTGCCATACATGTTTCCTTAAGATCTCATGCAACAGATAGAAGTTTTCATTTTCTTCTAAACAGTGTAGCAGATTCAAGGTAATTCTTCATGGAGTAATGAACATTTGTCAACATATAGTGTATAGTTATTTAAATACAAACAAATATGTTAGAAAAACATTTTTTGTTCTTTTAAAAAAAGAAAGAAAATACATTTCACTGCATTTACCTACCATTATCAGGAGACAAGCTTTGAACAGAATTGCACAACAATTCAAACTTTCAAGTGTTATGTAATGATATAAATATTCCATTCACAGTTGTGAAGTAATCTTGAGAAAACTTTCTTCTTGAGCTTCTCTGTTTTACACAAACTCCACATACTGCTTATTAGTTTGACTACCAGTATGTCATGTGAAATAAAAGCTTTATCCTTTTGTTTCAAAGCTATTATTGATTTATGATTGTGAAATGTTCCAGCCTCACTAAATGCTATTTTAAGAAAGCTGACCATGAGATAATTGTTTTATTTAAGTTTCTCTGAGAGACATTTGCTTAGTAAATACAGAGGTTAAATTGTGCATGTCATGACCTTTTACACTTTACTACCAAGGTATATAAATAAACTTAGCATCAAAATGTAGGTAATAAATAAAATTTGAATCTAACATAAGTTTTAATTTCTTAATTTTGAAACAAAACATTTACATAAGTCCTCAATCTTCCCTTGTATGAGAATCTTGACATTTGTTCTCTAGGTCTTCCTAGAGAAACGTTCCAAACAGAGAAATGCAAGCATATTATTTATATAGATTAAAAATGTCTTTCTTCTGTTGGTTATACATTATGTGGTATAAAATATCAGAGAGAATTATTAGCAATTTCTAAAAGAGGGGATGTGACAGGTTGGTGTGGCAAGACCTAGAGAACAAATGTCATGATTCTCATACAAGGGGAGATTGAGAATTTATGTAAATGTTTTGTTTCAAAATTAAGAAATTAAAACTTGTGTCTTCCCCATTCTCTAATTTATTTACCACCTCCCTTTGAAATATGGAACTTAGCATAAGTTGCTCATTGTAACATAGATATTAGTAAAGTAGAGTGTAACTTTTATAGCCTTCAATCTTCTTTGTTTACAGAAGCATAAACTACAAGGTCAGACCCACTTGCCACACCAACCTATCTATATAAATAATATGCTTGTATTTCTCAGTCCAGAACTTTCTCATAAATTTTTCAATCACACTCTACAAATCTCATATCATTAGAAAGGCCTTTGTTTGATGAGTCTGTATTGCATATTGGTTTTTCCATTCAGAAACACCTTACTTTTTTTTTTTTGCCTAGTCAAACTTTTTAATGTTACAAGTGTACTACTTGATGTTGCATGACAAATGGCTTCAACTTCAACTTTTTTTATTTCCAAAGTATTTCACACAAACAATAGTAAACCTATGTGTAATTTCCACACACACAAAAAGAACATTACACTAAATACAATATCTATCGGCTTTCTTGACCTATTTAGGTCTGAAATAAGCATGCATAGTTTGTTTAACTCTTTCAACACGGGATTGGTCACATGAACTGACCTTGTAACCATTTTGTGCTTGTTATAGTTTTCATTCTATAAATTTTAGATTAGTAAGTGTATCATCATGAAATTTTGCAGATTATCAGTAAACATTACAAGGCTTTTGTACACAAAATATCATATATTTTTTTATTAGTTTTAAGATTTCTTAAGTAATGTTTTTCTCCTGTCTTTTTCTTTTCAAATGTTGACTATCCAACATGCAAAGTAATTTTGATTTTAAGATTAAAAAAATACTTTTATGCATCAGAAAATTTTTAAATTCACATGCAAAATCTTTATAACCTCCAGATAATTATCAAAAGTATATATTATATCTGTTATTTTCACTACTATATCTCTTAACAGGTTGGGTCAATTTGACTGACCTCATAACCACCATAAAATATTAGGAAATAAATATAATTTATGCTTTTCTTTGTTCTAGAATGATTATAAATTATAACACGATAACACAAATGTTTAAGTCTAAATAGCTTAAATGTCATAACATTATATATCTATATATACTTATCATTTTTATTATATTGACCTTTCAATCATGCCCAACTAACATTACAGAAGTTGCAATGACACAGTGCATGTGCACTCATGTTACCATATCCAGGAATATAAAACTGGCTTTTACAAATTGACCTGTCTTGGCTGTGTTTTAATGGACCAGTATTTTGTAAAATACAGTCACATTTCAGTTATAATACATTATATATATGTATATACATTATTACTATCTACAAATAAGTTCTTAAACTCATTTTTATTAAAACACAGAACAGTAAATAAAGAAGTATAGCAAACAATTATCTCTTCCAGTTATGAACTTTGTACTCATTTGCTGCTTGCTGTAGGTTGCTAAGCCTTACCAAATTTTGCACTTGAGGATGTTAAATGAAATAATTTTTTAGGTTTTATATATACATTTTGAAATAATCAAATATCGTTAATTACTATATCAATACCAGCTTAGTAATTAAGCTGTATTTGGGCATAAAAAATATGAAATTTCAAGCTCATTAAAGTCTTACCTTACCATCTGGTATCTAGTATGAAAACAGAGTTTGCTAAGCAAATACTTTGCAAAGGCTGAGAAAACCACTAGGGGGACATTCTGAGCTTTCAATTGGTTATACACACACATCATTGGGCAAAGTAGGTGTACGTAAGCATTTTGTCTCCTCTATTTTATCCAACACCCCTTGGAAAAGTATGAAATAAAAGGTAAATTACTCACTATCAAATCATCATTGCTCAGACAAACCATATTTTTTATAGTTTTCAATTTTGTTTGGTTACAGAGCTATTGAATAAAAATCAAACCCCTCCTGCCACAGATAAAATAACAAATAAACTATAAAGTTTTAATGAAAAAAAAAACGTTTGAAATGCATTTAGGAGGTTATAGGAATTACACAAAGAAAATTTGAGATTTTTGAAGAGGAAAAGTATTTTTAATTTTAACATGAAAATTACTTTGCACATAGACTATTCAAAAAAATACTCAAAATAATCTTGGACAAATCTTTATTCTATTAAAAATATTTCACTTAAAATATTACTTATTTTTTTATGTGAAAGACTTATAATATTAACTGCCAAATGTTGTGAAGATATACACACTATATTGAAAGTTAAATCAAATCTATAAAGACTTTAAACAAGTACAAAGAGGTCATGTGGTCAGTCAAATTGACTGAGCCCGTGTTAAGAGTTAAAAAAATTGATTTTTTTGTGTATAAAAGACTTGTATTGTTTATAGAAAGCTTGCTAAATTTCAGTGATGATACATATACCATCTTAAAAGTTATAGTATGAAAACTCTGATGGTTACTTTGTGGTTACAAAATTAGTATAATTCACCAACCTCATACGCAAGTTTGTTCATAATTCTTTGTAACACAAAGAACGACATGAAAAGTGACACATTAAGAAATACCTATGTTTTTCTTAACTTGACCTTTATTTTCAATGTTTTGATTTTAAACAGATTATCAAGAGATTTTGCTATACACTTTGGACTTTTGTATCTTATAAATGGGTCTCTCACACCCAACTTGTAAAATGTTAACTATGTGTATTGTGTACCTGTCCATGCTGTTAGTTTTCCAAATTCACTCCTTAATAATTACACTGGTATATAAATGTAGCTATTCTGCCACTATACAATTATTTAGTCAAACTTTTTAAGTAACCTGTAAGTGTGGCCATGCTGCCTCTAGTGTTGGTTCATCTTCTTCAGGATCAAACTCTGCTCCATTAGGGTTAGAAGATGGGGGTAAAGTTCTAAACACGTTTACAGAGAACTGAAAAACATAAAACGGTTATTCAACTTTTGCTAAAACATGGAAACTATATTTAGAAACAAATGTTATAATACTAACCATGGTTTTACTTCATTTTTAACAGTAAAGAAAACATTTTGAGGAGTTTCATCTGTAAACAGAAAATGATGAAATTTGTCAAAAATGTTTTTACTCAGTCTTAAAAACAAGTGAAGCACATCTTTCTCTACTTTGGGCTACAAACCAGCTGTATTTATAACAATGCTATTAGAAATCTTACTTTTGGTTTGCTTATGAGGCAGCTGGTATATGTGACTCGTCTTTCTATGTAGGGAAAAACAATTTCTGAAATTATTGTAAACTTCAAGACATTAAGGTCACATATTTCTGTTATTTCACTAAAAATTTTTGCTCTTGATGAATAAATGTTTACTTTTCAAAAACACTAAGGTTATACGGTTTCTTATTTTTTCTCTGATTTTTTTAACCTAAATTTTTTCCTGACACTTGACTATCTATACTGTTAAAGTTCACAATAAAGGAATCAAAAGCTTTTGAGTAACAAAAGTAACACTGCAATGTAAAAGTTATTAACTACTGTTTTGAAGAAATTGGGAAAAATTATAATGAAAATTGGGATTTTTCATGTATGTTCAACTGAACTAGACAGAAAATAAAGGTACTTCTCAAATGTTTTTCTCCAGCCAAACACCTTTTTCAAAGATTATAAAGATCACTAGTAGAACAGAGATTTGAAAATTTATTAGTAATGAATGAAAAGAAAGAAAATTATAGTGTTAGAGCTATAAGAGATTATGAAGGGTTTCCATGCTTATGCTACCACTATACATAAAGTTTGATTGACCTTGTAGCCACCATGTAAACACAAAACTATGCATACTATAAATCTGAATATACCAAGTGTATCTTTAAGAAAACTGTAAGATAAAAAGAAATATTTTTACTCTTATCATGAAAAATTACCTTTTACTCTGACTCGGTAAAGACTTTGTACATTCACATACAAATCTTTAGTAAAAATTCTTTATTATAAAAAAAATATCTTTTGTTTACACACTTGTAATGTTTACTAACAGTTTACCATACCTTCATGGATATAGACAATACATTCAGAATTAAGTAAACATTACTGTGGACAGCTTCACAGATATGAGGTCAATAAATTTAATTGAGTCTCCAAGTAAAGAGTTAAGAGATTTTAAATGAAACCTTTTTACTGGGGAAGGAACATGACTGAAGTGATAACAGCCTTTATGCTTTATATAACAGTCTTTATTGATATTGTTAAATTTTTCTTAAAGATGAGAACAAATTTTTCTTTAAATCTAATTATGTTGAAGAAGCTGTTCAGAAAACTATAAGTCTATTAGTCAAACTTCAGCTATTATCAAGGTATTGAAATCTATTGTCAGATGTAATTTCCAAGATTAAAAAAAAATTCCTACTAAACTATCAGCTTCCCTTTTTTTTGTTTGGACAATGGAACACCCTGCTGAGTATTAATTTACCCTTAGTTTAAAGGCTAGCAATTACTTGTTTCTTTTTTAAAGTTTTTTTTGGTCTAACACTAACCTTATTTGAAGTTTATACAAAACTCTGATAAGGGTTTTATCTTTAGTAATGTACAAATCTTGGTCACGTTATTAAAGGAAAAATATCAATAACTTTATGTTATAAAATATGCAGAAACAAGCTACTGGAATGATACCTGGTTTAAGTCATTTAAGTTGTAATAAAAAAGCATAGTTTTTGGCTTGTTTTCTGTAGAGGGATTAGGGGTGACTCGATTCACTTGTCTGAAATTGACAGAAGACTTTAATTTCTCATATGGGCCAGTTATCAGGTAGGCAGTAGCACTGCTTATGTACGTATGGCTCAGACTGTTTATTGAAATACTATTTTAAATACCTCCTCAACAGGTCATCATAACTTTACAATACTATACAGTGTTACCTTTTATAACAATAGCTATGTAATGACTGAGTCACAAGTTCTAGGAATGTCTGTAAATAACATAGTAAAAAGTTTGAATTTCTTGTTCTTCTTTCCTCGCTTCTTTTATATTTCATGATAACTCAAAAACAAAACAATGGTGTCAACTAATTTCACTGAGGTGAACTTGGTTATAAATACAACCTTCATACATCTGTTGAAACACTGCATTAAAAAAACAAGGAAACAAGTAAAGAAAGCTTTTCAAAAAAGGAAGTAAATGTATGGATGTCAATCCTTTAAACACAATGCATACAAGATAGTAGGGATGACATTTGCATCATCTCTACATAACAGCACAGGCAAGAATTAACATATAGCAATATATATAATTATTCAATGACAATTGAGTGTAATTTATCCTATTATTTGTCTGTTAACATTCTACTACACTATGTGCCTGTGCTATTATGTAGGGATGATTCAAATTCCATCCCTACTATCTTGTTTGCATTGTTTTTGAAGCATTGATATTAGCCATCCCTACATTTACTTTCTTTTCTGAAAAGTTTTTCTTTACTTGTTTCTAGTTTGGTGATTTTTATGCTTTGGAATCCTAGATCAAAAAAAAGTTTTGGGGCTAGTTATAAACTTGTAAAAGGGTTTTCCTGATGATGGGGCATGTGTTGTTAGCCTTCGTTACTTCAAAGTTACTTGATGGATAAGTATGTAATTGCGAGGAATAAAATTTAATTGAATTTGGTGTTTTTGTTACTTGTCATTTTGGGTGAAGCTCAATCTCAATAATCAAATGGCCTTCTGTCCCTCGGTGTAATTTTAAGAACAAAAAAAAGTTACTGAGTAACATTTATAATAAGTTAGCTTTTAACTCATATTTATGTAAAGAATTCAACCCCAGCCATTGTTGATGAGCAAAAAACACAAGCTATTCATAGAAGCTTTCCCTAAATGTCAACCACACAGCCTGAAGCTACCTTCAAAGAATTTCATGAAACTGAAACCTGTAATGGATAATATTAAAAGGAATGTGATACAAAAAATACCTGAAATCAAAAAGATTCATATCTTTGGTTCCAACAGGAGGGGAGATTTCTAAGTTTCTACAGACAGTTCTTTCAAAAACTATATTACTGTATATAGATTGTTTATATAAACTTCTTTATCACTTACTACTGTAGTTTAGATCTCGTACATAATACAACATACTTTAGAAATCACAGGTAATCATAAAAATATGTTCATCATAATATAGAAACATAACTTGTACTATAGAAAAGAGCTTCATTATTTACACATGGAAGACAAAATCATTTAAATTTTAACGTAGAAGTACTTCCTATACTGGCATCATTGAGAATTAAGAGTGTACACAAAATAATTTAGTCAATAAATACTTAATACTAAGTGACACAGACATCTAAGGAACAGACATTGAAAAAACAGAGATTAGCCACTTCAATACCAAACACAAGAGAATGCATAAATGAAAACTCAAGAAATGTATGCATGCTTTTTTAAATAGTGATGCCTTCATATAGTTAATTTTATCAAATTAATTTTTTTTCTTACAATAGATTTTGTAACATGAACAAACTATAATGTTGACTCACTAAAACTGTTACATACACTTTTATTCATTATTCTGTACATACACAATATTCTAGATCCTAAGCCATAAGTACATATATGTCCTCCTGTAGAGCATTGTCATGCAAGTTTGGAATTTTGTACCACCATGAAGAAAGAGTATTACCTTTCAAACTCCCAGAGTTTATCAGTTTTAGGTTTTAAAAAAGTAATCAAATCCAAATTTGCATCTTTTAATTTTGTATTATGTATCTAAAAATAAACAGGGTACTGAGAATGTTGTTAATCTGCAAGTGTGAAAATGAAAATTTTAATATTTAACAGCATTCCTTACCACATCTGTAGACTACTGAAAAAAATCAATTTCTAGACCATTGACAATGTTCAGGAAATATGATCACTTTTAAGTTGAAATCACAAACCATTATATATGAACAAGGAAGAAAAACTAAGTTATCACAAGAAATAATACAAAGTACAAGGTTCTTCTAATTGTTTTGTAAAACTGTAATGCTTGAGATAAAATCCAAGTTTTCTTCCTCAACCAACTTAAAAAGGTCAACATTAATTTATCTTAGCACAGGCCTCGACAAATATTTTCAGATCTAGGAGCCAGCCCAAAAACTCAGGAGCCAGGTGTGCCTAACCTAACTTCACTACTGTTAGTACCGGGAAATGGGGGCTATGTATATTTATTTACTTTCACAGCAATGAGTGCATGATCACATGATATCAACAACCACTTGATAGTACTGCCTGAACTAACTGCCTTTGGACCCATTTGAGTCTAAATGCATGCACTGATTGGTTGAATTGAGAGAAAGAAGAAAAACTAAATGGTGTGAAATTAGTAATGTGTTGTACAACTGCAGTGCTTCAATCCTAAAAAAAACATGAAGTGCTGAATCTGCAATTAAAATCCTAGAAATAAAGTTTGATTTAGGACCCAAAGAACATAAAAATAGTTCCAGACTTCTCAAAGTCCAGAACTGTCCTAGATTCAAGTTCTATTTAGCACACCCCTATGCACAAATAAAATGGGAGAAAATACTAGGTTCCACAATGAAATTTTTAGTCAACATGGCAACCTGGCACCTGGGATTTCTTGAAACCTGTTTTAGCATTTTTTGAAATTTTCAGATATATGTGCTTTCTGAATATGTATGAATATTCACATACAGGAAGATTGCCTTGCATAGCAATGAACTTATTTCATGTGCTAGTTACACATGGTCAAGGAGTGTGCCACACTTAGATATTTTTGGGTTTTCTCCCAGTTGATGTTCTTGGAGACTTAGTTTTGTTCTTGTATCTACTATCTTTAATGAAATTGCCATGTGTAGAGGATATGTCCTCCTTATTGTCACCAATGGGATGACTAGTGACATGGATAGCACCAATAATTTGAGAGGGATGGCACTATTGTTTTTATTTATAGTAAAACTTTCTCAGTCTAGACCAAAAATTCCATCTGGTAATACCTCTCAACAATAAGAGAGAGAGAGAGAGAGGTGCTATCCATCACCTTCATGCATTTGTCTTTGAGTTATGCTGTTTTACACTGTTTTTTTTTGTTTCTTCAAATCAAAATTTCAGTTTTTGCTGTAGATAACATTTTCTTCCTTATCTTCCATTACTGTAATTTCTTTAAGCTCATCACGTGAGTCACTTTCATTTCACACAACAATAGCTGTCCAAATTTGTGATGTCTAACTGATGCTAGACATTTGTTTTTCATATAATACAATGCAAGAACTTTAAACTGATGTTCATATTTGAAACTTACCATCTGAACAACTTCAGAATAAATGTGTTCTGTAATAACATTCCTTTGGGTTGTAATGTACTCCACAATTTCATGTAGAGCAGCTCGTTTCACTTCTTTCCACTTGAGATCACTTAGAGGGTCTGAGAGAAAATCAAATAGCACACAGCACTGTTGGATCTTTTGACCAAACAGTTCCTCTTGATTTGCTGGAGAAGCATCTACTCCATGAAAATTGAACAAAAGAACATAATAAATTTTAAAATTATCCCACAAAAAAATTAATACAAAGTCATTTTTCATAAACTAATCATCATATGAATATTATTCACTTTTTCATTAAAATAATTATATTTTCTTTATTTTTTATATTTTATGCAGACACCAAAATACTGTACGTGTCAGATTTCAGCCATGTGCAGGCCTTAGATAATTCCATACAATGAAGATTTACTTACAATTCAGCTAAAAACAAAAAGCAATAGTACTGCTTTTACATCACTACAAATAGCTTAATATACCTTTTATTGATGGAAGCTTTTGCAGTTCTCTGTTTTTGGAGGTGTTAAACCTTGAAGAATTGTGTCGTTTATCCTTTTTAATAAGTGTTGATGCAGCATATTTTATCTTTGTCAGCTGAGTGGGTGGTGGAGAGTTAGATGATGTTTTGTTATTTTGTTCATTACTTGATTTTGTCATCTGTAAAAAGTAAATCAAGGAAGGTCAGTCTTCACTTTTCAGACTGTTATCAAATACTAGTTAAAATTCATAACTTGAAATAACTTGAGGTAGTTATATTTTTCTATCAAGATATTCACTTCTACTTTTGCAACAAAGCTACATGTTATTATATCAGGGCTTGAAACTGAAACAATGCATGAACACGCTGTTCTTACTTGATATTTTAAACTTAGGGAATCCCACTGAAAGATGCATGAGTATGATGTACAACAAACAACAAGAAAATGCTTATCTATGATTATCTTAGCATGCTTTTTCCCATACACGGCCTTTTTTCTGTAATTTTCTTTCAGACAAGTTTTTTAAAAATAATTATGACCACTGTTCACATACGGTCTGAATATTCATAATAATGCCTAACTTATCAATGTGCAAAAAAAATGCCAGCACCCATTGACAGTTGGTGAGTAAACACTAAAACACACTAGTTTTTTTGCCAGCTAGCCACCACTAATTTTGAACTATTATCAAAAAATGTTTTTTCACTTGCTAGCTCCTTTCACAAAACCTTGACATTTACCCTTAATTAATACTCCACATTAACACATTAATAAGCTTTTGTATTTTTTTTCCTTAGAAAATAGTTTTCTACACATTGACTTATACAGAAAATCATTTGACAGACCCCAAGTCCATCAACACTCCTTATCATGTTACCCATCCTAAACAAATATCACCTACAGCTAAGCTCTTTCTATTTAGAAAATTTGAACTAATAAAATTTATTGTACAAAACACAAAATTTGTTAAGATAAACCAGGATTTAAAAACATTAAAAAGACTGAAACCAACTTGAAGATTTCAAAAATCAAAATCCACAGTTCAGCACTAGAGAGACAAAATTCCTTTTGTTGTACCCTATTATCCTAGCCTCAAGAACACAGCACATATGTTGGTTTTATGCCACTAGATCAAATATAATTGAGTAATACATCAAGTTGCTTTACATTTCACTTGTAAACATAAATATTTTAATAAGTTTCAGTTATTTCTTGCACTACAAATGTTTAAAGATACATGTACTTGTAGTTCTAATATCCTTTATGTCAAAATACTGTAGTTAGTTAAACCATTTTAAAGGATCATTTAACATGATGACAATATCTTGAACAATGATAAAATACAGTAACTACCTCTTCTGTGTTTTCTATGTTGTCTCTTCCAATGCCATTTTTCCCTGCAGATTTCAATTTTTCTGGTGCCTGTTTTTATTAAAAAAAATTATTTATGTTAAAAGACTTTAAGATGAGAGCAAAACTCTAGAGAGTATTCTTCTATTAGTTCTATTATATTTCATAATAAAACAAAAAATACAAATGTAGTTTATAGGGGCAACCACAATTATGGCACATCCATAAAAGTGCATAAACCCATATACCATGCAATAAGATACACAAGAATTCTTGACACAGCATCTTGCCTTTTCCCATAACAGAACTGGGTCATTTAATCAATTGCCTATTAGAAGCAATTACATCAATTGTTGTTATACAAATTAATCAAAATTAGTATTTCTGATTATTCCAACAACTGATTAATCAAACGTTCTATTATATCTACTTAATTGAAAATATTCATTAGACAAAATTATGACAAAAGTTAATATTTTCCTACCCTGAAAATAAATTTCTGATATACTTACCTCCACTCACATAATAGCTTTTATTGTTCAGTGCTTCCCTCTATAAGTGCAAACTTTTTCGCTCACCATTAGCCTTGAAATTCTTATCTACCCCACATTCAACGTGGTTCAACTGAGTCTTCGTATGCAAATAACCATGCAGCAACCTTCCACCAATAGGAGCGTGACAGACTCTCCTGACACAAGTTACTCCCTCTATACTATTCAGTCTTACTTCCACTTCAAGATTAGGCACAAAAGAAGCACCAGAACCGGGGAGGAAGGGTGGGAAATGTGAGAAGAGGAAAGTACCTATCGGAAATATATTTTCGTTGTAGGAAAAATATTAACTTCCAATTCAGTATCTTACCTCCTCTCACATTATAGCTAGAAAAGGTGGAGGGACTCGTACAAAAGTTACCTAGATGAACACCCTTCGGAAAGTGTCTTAAGAATGTCCATGAAGCGTAACCTCTCTTGAGAGAGGAACACACCCATGGGAGGTTGCACCACATCTATATCAGGTATACTCCTCACCCAATGATGTAGAAAGTGTTACACAATTGGACAGAAAATAGGTGTAGCACATCCAAGACTGCATACATGTTGGGTGGTCCAGTTCGATACCAAAACCGAATTTCTAGGAGCCAACGTCCAGGAAATGGTAGAATGGAGGGCTCCCAATCAAAGATGTGGCCCATGGTGTAGAATGGCTAGGGCACATCAGATCATACTCGGTGGGTCAACTCCAGTCTAAAACCAGGTGGCCTCAGGTATTTATCTTCCAGTCTGTGGTGAGAGGAGGGTCTCTACCATCTTCACCCCAAGCCCATGAGATGGAAGGGAGAATGTTCTGTCCCATCTGTCTAGACAGGGCCCATGTGTGGAAATCCTCAATCAACACCACCAAAAGGAAACCCGGAATTTGAGTAATAGTAAGCAGGGAATTGGTTCACTCAAATTTTAAACCAAACAGACTTTTGGTTCCTGGTCCAGCTCCATGCATTACCAGAACTTAAGTGTTACAACCCTCAGCTGGAATGCCGGAGGTACTCCTGCCAACCAGAGTACCTGTAAGCCATTCAAGCTTCTTGCAATAACAAACTCCCAAGCCTCAGCTTGATGGAGGAGGTATGCCAGGGACACCACACCAACTAGTACATCTCATTCATGTTAAAACGAGGGCTCCTGACCAACATATGCATGAGGACTTATGCTGTCTGGTACAGCTTTAATCCAAAACCTATAATCCAAGTAATAGTAGGATTATGGGTCCCAACTGGAGGGGGGAACTGCAACTTGGTGGACCTACTCCAGTTTAAAAGTCAGTGGGATGATCTACATCAGCATAACAACAACATCCTTCTCTTGACTAAATGGAATTGAACACATTCAGGAGGAAGCCTCCATGGTCTACCACCCCAATGGCTAGGAACTGGTATGTGGTAAAGACTCCTGTACTCCAGTTGCAGAAGGAGGGGGGGGGGGACATGGTGGGGAGTCTGGAGGAACACTACACCAGAGACTGTATAATGGGTGACCACAGTAACCATATTTTGAAAATCAGACCATTCCCGATTTATTCAATTGAAGGACCAGCAGGGATGAGCAGCAATCCCCTTCTGCTTTACTCATAATAGTCCACGAGTTAGTATAACTATGCAGATTTTTCAGCTGATAGCCAATAAGTATACCTGTACAGGCACCACCACTCACCATTGAGTGGGATCCACTACCTATAAGAGACATAACCCTGTAGAGGAAAGAGAAAACTGTTTGAACTACCATTGACCTACTCCAGTTTATGAATCAGTGGTTGGATCTATAGGCCTGAAATGAGGTATATATATAGGTTGGCAGGTAAAGTCCCTGTAATTGGACCTGGAGGTGCCATACAGTACAGATTTTGTGGCTGATAGCTAATAAGTATACCTGGACAAGCACCACTTGCCACTGAAGGGGGATCTACTACCTATAAGGGACATGACCCTGTAGGAGAGAGAGAGTGTTCAAACTCCCATTAAACTAAGGCCAAGACCTCCTCAGCCAAAAGTGTAGAACCTGAAGCTTGAAAAACAACAGATGAAGTAGTAGTAGTCATAACTATTATACATGACGAAAAATTCAAAATTCATGGTTCAACTGAGGTAATTCCACAAAAAGTTAAATTTACTTTCATTCAAAACCATAAATTAAATTACGGCTTTGAGAAAAAAAAATCAAGTGCAAAGTTGAAAACAAGCAAAATGTTATAACATCCGAACATGACTATGCCTAAATGATAAGTGAGGGTTAGGCTGAATAATATAGAGGGAGTAACTTAGATCAGGAGAGTGTGTCCCACTCCTATTGGTGGAGGGTTGCCATATGCGTATTTGAACCAAGGTGGGAATTTCAAGGCTAGTGACAAGCAAAAAAATTTGTGCATATAGAAAGCAGCACCGAATGAGAGAAGCTATTAAGTGAGAGGAGATAAGATACCATATCAGGAATTAGGGCTATCACTATTATTGCTAGTTTCAATTACTCCAACTATCCAAGTAATCAAAATATTGCCACCAAACTTGCTCGCCACCTTTTTTGTTTATTTCTTGTGCTGTTGAAGTGTTGATTAGGGGGGAAGACAAGTGACTTGCAGAACATGCCACCAACTTTTCTTTCTTTTTTCATGGTTTGAGGAACACTGTATTAATTGATTAGCAAATACCACTAATTGCTCAGCTTTATTCCACAAATATTCAAATGCAGCAAGTTGCCCAATGTTATCTAAAAAATTAGATGTGATTAACTAGTTTATAATGAGAATTAAATAACATTTAATACAGTTACAACAAAATTCGAGGAAACATCCAAGGGTCACTATAATAATATCTCAACTGTAAAAAACTACAGGAGTTGTCCAGATAACAAATTAAGAGATTTAAGTTTTCCAAAAATTTCTTTTTCATACCAGTCTTCTGGAAATATTAATAAATTTTTCTGGATATATCCAAATGTTTCAAAAGTCTATTAGATAATGATGGCACACACACAGAACTCGCTTTCTAAAACACTAAAAGTCACTCAAAAACAATCAACAATAAGTGAGTAGTCTCAGAGTACTAGACAATAAATGACAAGGTCAATGAAAAATTCTTCCTATCCGAGAGGAACGGTGTACCAGGCTGAAGGAACCTCCTCCACCAATCATGTGTACAATAAACTTCCAAATTAAAAACAACAAATTTATGCAATTTAAATTATTAAACAAAGTTATATTTATATTAAAATTCTTTCATTTAAACCATAAAATAAAATACTATAAATACTATACATATCTAAAATTTATAACAATATAGACTAAAAGGCAAATTGTATTTGTTAAATCTTCTAAAATTGGTTTTCATACTAATTTCTTTTAACAAGTAGGATTTCTTATTTTTGTCGTAATACCTTTGGGTTAAATACTTAAATCTTTCTTTCAATAGAAATTTAACAGGTGCTGAAATAGGAGATTTGGTAGCAATTCTTAAAATATTGTTTTGAGTAGTTTGTACAATCTTTAAATTATTAATATTAATGTTTGAGCATGGACTACAAGCATATTCAAATAGTGCTCTTATAAATATTTGTATATTTTGATTATAGTTTTACTAATACATCCACCATATTTACTGACAATTTTCCTTATATAGTTTAATCTGGTTCATCCTTTCTTAACTAAGGAATTAATATGTTCTTTCCATGTTAATTTCCTGTCAAATATAATACCAAGATATTTCACATTTTCAACAATTTCTATATTAGTATCATATATTTGTAACTTAGTCTTTTTAATTTCATTTATGCTTTATTTAGGAATATCATTCATTCTATAAAACATAAATTTCATTTTTACAGTATTTAAATAAATTCTCCATAAATGACACCATAATTGTAAATCTATTATGGCTAGTTGTAAATTTTCTAAAATTATTGATACTGCATAACTAGTTACCCAGTAGATGATGTCATCTGCATATTGTGCAAAATTGATAGTACCTATATTAGTTGTAGGTACATGTATATCATTAGTATAGATGCTAAAGAGTAGAGGACCTAAAACTGTACCTTGTGGTACCCCTAGCTCGGTTACATATGAATCTGAATATATAATATTTAATCTTACTTTATTTTTCCTACTTTTAACAAAACTGCATAACCATCTTGAAAATCATAAATTAATTTAAAATTAAACTATTTTGCCAGATTTTGTCAAAAGCTTTTTCGATGTCCAGTAACACTGCTCCAGTGGAACTTTTAGTTAAAACGATATACAATGGACTATGTTAGTCTCACTAGATTTTCTGTTGTTTAGTGGTTTTTCCTTGTAAAATACATTATTTTTCATATATAGTCTTCTAAGTTTCCTTCTTTTACTGATAGCAATTTCAATTTCTTCGGTGAACATGGTTTTTTTGGTTTATATCTCAGTATGCTATTTTCTACAGCTAATTATTGATAATATTGACATTCTTATAAATTATCTTTATTTTCAGCCTTTTCAAAATTATAACCATTTAATTCTTTTTCCAAAATATCATTAAATTTACTCCAATCGGC